GCGGTGGCTCAAACCTGTAATCCCAGCACTTTGGTGAGCCGAGATTGTGCCACTGCACTCCAGCCAGGGCAACAGAGCGAGACTCCATCTCAAAAAAAAAAAAAAAAAAAAAAGCAGTTAAACCCAAAACTAGCAGAAGAAAACAAATGATAATTAGAGCAGAAATAAATACAGAGTAGGCCAAGCGCGGTGGCTCAAACCTGTAATCCCAGCACTTTGGAAGGCCGAGGTGGGTGAATCACTTGAGGTCAGGAGTTTGAGACCAGCCTAGTCAACACGGTGAAACCCCATCTCTACTAAAAATACAAAAATTAGCCAGGCGTGGTAGTCCACACCTGTAGTCTAAGCTACTTGAAAGGCTGAGGCAGGAGAATCACTTGAATCCAGGGGGTGCAGGCTGCAGTGAGCCGAGATCACATCACTGTACTCCACCCTGGGAGACAGAGTGAGACTGTGTCTCAAAAAGAAAAAAAAAATACAAAATAGAAAAACAATAGAGAGAACCAAACAAAAAGTTGGCTCTTTGAAAAGATCAACAAAATTGACAAGTCTTAGCTAGAATAATTTAAAAAAAAAGATGACTATGGGCTGGGCGCGGTGGCTCATGCCTGTAATCCCAGCACTTTGGGAGGCCAAGGCAGGCAGATCACGAGGTCAGGAGATCAAGACCATCCTGGCTAACACGATGAAACCCCGTCTCTACCAAAAATACAAAAAATTAGCCGGGCGTGGTGGCGGGCCCGGGAGGCAGAGCCTGCAGTGAGCGGAGATAGCGCCACTGCACTCCAGCCTGGGTGACAGAGCAAGACTCCGTCTCAAAAAAAATTAAAAAATTTAAAAAAATTTTTTTTAAAAGATGACTATGAAAGAGAAAAAAATCAAATTACTAAAATCAGAAATGAAAAATAGGGGCCGGGCATGGTGGCTCACACCTGTAATCCCAGGACTTTGGGAGGCTGAGGCAGGCAGATCACTTGAGCCCACGAGTTCAAGACCAGCCTGGGCAACACGGCAAGACCCCATCTCTATAAACATTTTAAAAATGAGCTGGCTGGGCCTAGTGTGGTGGTTCACGCCTATAATCCTAGCACTTTGGGAGGCCGAGGTGGGCAGATCACTTGAGGTCAGGAGTCCGAGACCAGCCTGGGCAACATGGTGAAACCCCGTCTCTACTAAAAATACAAAAATTAGCCGGCCATGGTGGTGTGCACCTGTAATTCCAGCTACTTGGGAGGCTGAGGCAGGAGAATTGCTTGAACCTGGGAGGTGGAGTTTGCAGTGAGCGGAGACCGTGCCATTACACTCCAGACTGGGCAGCAGAGCAAGACTCTGTCTCAAAAAAAAAAAGAAAAAATGAGCTGAGTGTGGTGGCACATGCCTGTAGTCCCAGCTACACAGGAGGCTAAGGTGGGAGGATTGAGATGCAGCCTAGGAGGTCGAGGCTACTGTGAGCTGTGACGGTGCCACTGCACTCCAGCATGGGCGAAAGAGTGAGACCCTGTCTCAAAAAACAAGAGAAAGAGTCAGGGTTGGTGCCACACAATAAGGCTATCCCCACAACAGACAAGATGAGCCGCGAGAATGGTGTTGAGAACAGGCGCCGTCAGCGCCGGAAGCAGCTGGAGCTTGCTGGTGAGCACTTTTCTGGGGCAGTCACTGGCTATGCTTCTAGTCCATTCTGAAGTCTAAGAATGGCCACCATAAAAGAACATTTTTTTTTTTTTTTTGAGACGGAGTCTCGCTCTGTCGCCCAGGCTGGAGTGCAGTGGTGTGATCTCGGCTCACTGCAAGCTCTGCCTCCCAGGTTCACGCCATTCTCCTGCCTCAGCCTCCTGAGTAGCTAGGACCACAGGCGCCGCCACCTCGCCCGGCTAATTTTTTGTATTTTTAGTAGAGACAGGGTTTCACCGTGTTAGCCAGGATGGTCTCGATCTCCTGACCTCGTGATCCGCCCACCTCGGGCTCCCAAAGTGCTGGGATTACAGGCGTGAGCCACCGCGCCCGGCCAGAACATTTAAGACCAAAGAAGGAAAAAGCTGCAGAACAAGACTTCCTATTTCTGAATAAATCCATTTACAGCTTCAGTGCCCAGCAAGAGGGCTGGCTAAACTGCAGCTGGTGCCAGAACCAGCAAGTCCCGGACCCATCCCGGATGACACCACGGTCCAGTGAGAAGAGCAGCGCAGACCCCAATCTTGGGACGCTCTCGGCAGGCAGGTGCTCCTCCCGAGCGATGGGAAGGCTCGGAAGGCGCCTGGCACTTCTCCAAGACGGAAATGGAAATGGGGGAAGGGACATTTCCTATCGCTTCGCCGACAGTAATAAACATGTTATTTCTCTGCAGTTTTTTAAAAGAACGTTAACACTTTTTAGAACCAAAATGGGATGACGCTGGCTATCATCACTGGTGGCCCTCGAAGATGGCCTTCCCTGCCACTCCCCACTCCCTGCAATGGGGCTTGTTCTGCCCTGTAAAGGGCTGGGCAGTGCCTGGTAGAGAGGGGGCCAGCCCCACGCCGCTGTGGCCGGGAGTGAGCAGCTCTCACCTGGCAGAGGGAAAACGTGGCAGACACGACCCCAATCAAGACGTTCAGCACATCTTTCACCAGCTCACACTCCTTCACCAGCACGGGCTGTGGGGCCTGTAGGATGCCCCCAGCAAGCAGTTGAAGCTCCCCTTGGCGGAGCCTGCAGAACTTGTCGAAAGCGTCCCTTCCCGCCTCTGTCAAGTAAGGCTCCTCTCTGTGGCCAGGGGGGCTGCGAGGGGGGCAGAAGAGAGGCCATGAGCAGACGTGATGACCTGCACCTCAGCACCAGCATACTTTCTCTTGGGAATGGGCACGAACAGAAGAACGGAAGTGATTCAAAACAATAAACTCTAAGAAACGCAGCCATGTACAAATGCCAACTCACCACCCAGCCTTTTGTGGATGATACTGCTGTGAACACCAGCACAATCAATTCTATCAGGACAACTCATGTGGAAATGTGTCCAGGGCACCTGTGCCTGGGGTCCTGAGCATGGCCGGGGGTATCCGACGGGCCCAGCCCTGGAAGAGCACCCCAGGCCACGCCAGTGGCCCTTAGGGTGGTGACTCACTCATAAAGTATTCTTCTGTTAGAAACAAAACAAGGTTTGTACACCCATGTACACAGCAGCATCCACAACCCTGTTCACGGCAGCATCATCCACACTCAAGTCCACGGCAGCATCATCCACACCCAGGTCCACGGCAGCATCATCCACACCCCTATCCACAACAGCATCCACACCCAGGTCCACGGCAGCATCCACACCCATTCACAGCAGCATTATCCACAACCCCGTCCACAGCACCATCCACACCTGTTCACGACAGCATTATCCACACCCAGGTCTGTGGCATCATCCACACCCCTGTCCATGGCATCATCCACACCCCTGTCCACAGCAGCATCAGTCACACCTGTCCAGGGCAGTATCCACACCCGTCCACGGCAACATCATCCACACCCTTATCCACTGCAGCATCATCCACACCCCCATCCACGGCATCATCCACAGTCCCGTCCACGGCAGCATCATCCACACCTCTGTCCATGGCAGCAGCACCCACATCCCTGTCCATGGCAGTATCCACACCCCTGTCCATGGGAACATCATCCACACCCTTATCCACTGCAGCATCATCCACAGTCCCGTCCACGGCAGCATCATCCACACCTCTGTCCATGGCAGCAGCACCCACATCCCTGTCCATGGCAGTATCCACACCCCTGTCCATGGGAACATCATCCACACCCTTATCCACTGCAGCATCATCCACAACCCCATCCACGGCAGCATCGACACCCCAGTCCATGGCAGCATCCACACCACGGTGCACAGCAGCATCATATACACCCCTGTCCACAGCAGGATCCACACCCAGGTCCACAGCATCATCCACACTCCTGTTCACGGCAGCATCCACACCCCTGTTCATGACAGCAGCATCCATATCCCTGTCCACGGCAGTATCCACACCCCTGTGCATGGGAACATCTCCACACCCTTATCCACTGCAACATCATCCACACCCCTGTCCATGGCATCATTAACACCCCCATCTATGGCAGTATCCACACCCCAGTCCATGGCAGCATCCACACACCTGTTCACAGCAGCATCACATACACCCTGGTCCACGACAGCAGCATCCACATCCTTGTCCACGGCAGCATCCATGCCCAGGTCCATGGAAGCATCCACATGCCTGTCTACAGCAGCACCCACACCCCCATCCACAGCAACATCATCCACAATAGCCAGGGGTAGAGGAGCCTGAGCACCCAGCAGAAGAGGATAAATACAGGTGGCCCATGCAGACCCCCGCCCATCATTCAGCCTTATAAAGGAAGGCAGCTCAGACACATGCTCCAGAAAGGACGGCACTCAAAGACGCCACATGGAGTGCACTGAGCCATCACAAAACACTGTCTCCACAGGGACAGCGCTCGAGGATGCC